TACTGAAATTCGTCATCCCAATCGGTAACTACTGCAGTGTTATTGGCTAGAACTTCCCACCGTGTGCATACGGTAAGTTCAATTCCAACGAACACAACAAAGACGAATTTCAGTACCCACAGAAACTCGGCCAACAGGACGGCCTGTTGAAAAAGAAGAAAACAAAAAATAAGACGTGATGATCAAACACTGAAAAGTAAAACAGTAAATCAAGTCAATAATCTAAGGTAGACTGTAAGACTATCCGATGCAGAATGACCAATCAGTCACCTAAAACTGGCCAGCTTAGGGTAAAATTATAAACGTTTTGACAGAAAACACAAATGGATATGTTTGAAAGCATGGTGCACAAAAAGGGAATTGAATAAAATGAAGAGAATACCTGAATCCGGTTGAAGTCATTTATTATTTACACTGTCGCTATGAACAAATTCGAGTGATACATTTTGGTTTAACCCTTCTGTGGGCATTTATTTATACGCCAGTCAACAACCTCCTTCCAGTTGATAATCGCTGAAAATTCACCCTACGGGTGCATAAAGATTACTTTAACTTGAATTCTTCAAACTGTTGGCTTTAGCTATAGATTTCAAGCCTAATTGCCGTTTGTTTACTTTCTAAATGCCGTATGTTTCGTTAGGTAATTATTTTGTTGGATTCTCTACCCAGTTCTCACGCGTAAATTACACCTGCTTCCCACCATTTACATCAAAGGAATTATATCCGACTGACTGTCGCCATCTATCTTACCTGGAATAAAATGTATCCAGACACAGAGGAATGTAATAGTATAGATACGAACGAAATCTTTGCGCAGACTCCTTTACTTCCTCCAGTCGTTCTTTTCAATTTTTCCGTTTTGATTCGTACGTTCCTCACCATTTCAAATGGGTGGTTGATTAAGTATGCATTTACCGAATTCGATAGGGAAGTATTTTTTGTAAATCCTCCTTGCATTCGAACAGGTAAACGATGTCGTCAGCATACTCTAAATCGCACAGCTTTTCTCCAGCTGCCCATTCAATGCCAACATGAAGAGGTGAAGAGGTTGGCGGTTTCCATGTAAGTCGATGGCGTTTCTTGTGCGAGAAGTTCCCGTTTGACAGGAACAATCCGTGGTCCGTGCAGAGTTGAAGTAGGCGATCTTCGTTGTCCATCCGGTTGGCTGGGATTGCATGTGGTCCACCAAGAAGCCTTTCTGATTCGTCCAGGGATCCATTGAAGTCTGGCGAATACTACGACGTCCGTTGACCGAGCACTTTGGAGTAGTTGAGAAAGATTCTTGTAAAATTCATCCTTCATTTCAGATGCACTGCAATCGGTCGGTGCATACGCCGATACAACGAATAAGCATCGACGCTTCGTTCTGTAACTGTTGACTCGAACTGAACCGTTGAGACGCACAGCGCACAATCGACTACTGGCTGGAATCCAGTCAAGAAACCAGCGCTCAGACTTGGCACTTAGCGCAATCCCGATACCAGCAACATCGCGAGCTTCGGATGCCGAATCGCCTGACACACGAAGAGTGAAGCGTGAGATTGAGGTTGGATCAGGAGAATGCAGAGAGGTAATGGAAGTGGGGTCTTGTATGCGTGTTTCGGGGACACAACATACATCTACATTGAAGGTTTCGAGGGTTCTAGACAAGGCAGCTTGTTGGCCAATCTGATAGAGCGTGCGGATATTGAACGCGGCTAAGTGAAAAGGGGATTTTGGCTTTAAAAATCCTATAGCTTCTGAATCTCCGGCCTTGATGGTAAAACGCCAAGTGATATTCGATGGGTGGTGTAAACAGGAGGCATCTGGGATTATTCGGGGTTGAGAAGGATAACTAGACAGATGGGATGGTTTTCCAAATGGGTGCCTAAGACTCAAGGGCGCGACACACTTCGCGGTAGACAACACCGATGAAGGGGTTTTTCTTTGGGAACCATAACCGGAGCCTTTGACTCAAGAGTCTGACCCACAAGGCGTAAATCCAACGCGGGAGCGTGAACGAAGCACCCGTGTGGGAGCTTCTGGAGAAGCTTGGCATTCATCGGAAAACTCGGTCAACTGACACATTGACATCGATCAAGTCTACATCCCCATGAAACAAAAGGACCAATCAACGCAAAGGTCGGTCGGGTCACACGTGACAACAGGACAACAGTAACGCTTAGACTGATCGATCAACGGCCAGACGTCAGACTTCTCGCGTCCACCTCGTCCCGTATTGGCACAAGGCAAACAAACATTGGCCAACCAGGCAACGCCATGTCTATAAATCACTCAACGAACTATATAAGGAAAAGGACACTCGTAAGCGCTCACCCAGTTACTGCATTGAGAATGTCACCTCGATTGGTGATGAAACGATTGCAATACAATTTCCAAGCTCGGCAAACAAGTGAACATGAAATATATATATATATATATATATATGCCAAAACAAGTCACTCCAGAATAATCTTTATAAAAAAAGAACTCCATGAGTTGCTCGAGGGCACAATACTATTTGGTTGCCCAGGCCAATGCAGCTGAATTTTCTTAGGAAGTTTACAACCGGAGTCTTTGACTATTCCGCATAGCAGCGGGGCGGTATACGGAAACCGCAATCCGTTGGGGCCGGTGTCCTATTCATCGGATCATACGCCCTTTGGACGGA